TACATTTCACAATATAACTGTAACAAATGTAGGTAGCATTGTGTTCTATTTGAGGTGAGAGCAAATTTCTTTCCTGTTCCTGTTCTGTATTAACACAACCTATAATTAAGACCTAGTATCTATGTCCAAAGTATGATTATGAGAGTGGGCAACCAGTTGAATTCATTTGAAGGATTAAGAGTAAATAATAATGAGCTAATGAAACCAAATATTTTCTTCTATAGCTCAACTATAGAAAGCAGATAAAAATCATTATGTTTCTAATTCCATACACATTCTATTGGGAATTGACTTAGCTAAAACTAGGCAAACATACTTCCAGATGCTCAGGAGAGAAGTGATTCTGAGGCTGGGTTTATAGTAAAATACAGCAGAAATACTGGTTTCTGAAATCCTATAGAAGGATTTAGTTTTTTTACACAATTGAAATTATGGTGTGTTTTCTTTAAGAAAGTTAAATGTACAAAATTCTGTACTAAATTAAATTAAAGTAGGCCAAGAATTTGAATAACCATATTGATACTCTGAATAAATCCTTACTATTCTTATCACAAAGAATAATTATAATTAAGCTCAATAGGTTTATAGGTATGAACAATAAATTACACTATTAAATTTCTACATAGGTTCATGTAATTTATTCTACTCCAATGTTTGATTTTTCTTTGACCTGAAACATTTATATTCCTTAACCAGGAATCAAAATTCTGGAAAAGAAACTTTGATTTAATTATGGTAGGTTGTGAAAATTTCTCACAACAGTAGGGAGTCTAGCATTGTAACTGCTTTTTGCTGGAATACACTAGAAGAAGTCCATCTGTTAGAACTCCCAGGTTCGGGCTGAATAAACTTCTCCTTTTTTTGCTTCATTCCTGGTTTAGCAAACTTTTGGCAACAAAAAAGACAGCAATTAGTGATGATGAATATCACATTTGCCACACAGGCYAGCAGAAACACAACCACATCTAAAGAGTAGTATTGGAACCAGGAGAGGTCATGAACAAAAACCAAAGGTGTTTAGTTTCTTTGTAGCACATGACAAACTTGATTCAGATGATAGCTCAACTGGATGCTCATGGTGAATTATTGATAATCTTACAGCATTCTCTTTATCTCTAAAGGAAAATCAGAAGACAACAATTTTTAAAGCCAGTTAATTGGTCAAAATTTTCAAGTCATTTCAAGAACATTTTCAAATGTTCTTTGAGTTTACAAAAGTGGGTCAAACAAGTGCCATAGAACAGCCTTAAAAGTATTGTTCTTTGAACTGTTGTCTTGGACAACTTGGCTTCTATGTTGGAGGTTTATTTATTTCTTTACTTCCATTTCAAGTTCAAATGTAATTAAAACAAAAATTGTGCTTGAAAAGAGTGAATTCAAAGTAGTACAATCTCTTTAAGTTGGAGATTTCTGGTGCATAAATATTTCCAAAGTTAAAATGGAATGTCAAGTGGGAAGCTTAATCTTTTCTAGAGACCAAGTGGTAGTAAACCATTCTCAGAATGGTAAGTGAAATGGTTAAATACTATTTGAAAATGATCATCTTAACCTTTTTGAAGAGGTATTTTGTCAGGGTGGGTGAAATGACTTTTAACAATTATATTTCTTCTCTTCTATTCTACCTTTTGCCAGAAAGATCATTTTTGATTAAACACATGTCAGCTTTTGATACTAGTGTGACCAATGTTTCCGCATGGATCCTCATATATTTAGATTAATAACCAGATGTGGTTATTTTAGTTAAATATCTTTTTATTTGTTTACTCACTTAAGTCCTGTATATCTGCATAATATGTTATTTATGACTTCTACCTTTACAAATCTACTAAGTTTTCTTGTCATTGAACTGGAGGAGGTCCATCTGTCAGGACTCCTAGCTTTGGATGTAGATAAAACTATGCCCTTTTCTTCTTCTTTCGTGTTTTAGTAAACATCTGGCAACAAAACAGACAGCATTTGGTGATGATAAATATCACAGTTGCCACACAGGCCAGCAGGAACCCAAGCACATCCAAAGAGTAGTACTGGAACCAGGAGAGGTCATGGGCAGCTACCCGCAGGTGTTTAGCTCCTTTGTGGCGCATGACAAACTCAATCCAGAAGACAGCTCGATCCAGAGGCTTCACTGGCTGTTCATGGTGAATTCTTGATAGCCTCATAGCATTCTCTTTATATCTAAAGGACAAACCATAAGACACCAACACTTAAAACAACTTAATTTCCCTAAGTATATTAAGTCTATATAAGGTTTTTAGAAATGTTCATAAAACTGAATCTAACAAGTACCTTAGGTATCCACAGAAGAGCCAGGTTGGTGACATAAGCCTGTATTCCTGCTATTTGGGAGGCTGAAGCAGAATAATAAGTTCAAGGCTAAGTCTGGACAACTAAGAAAGACATTGCCTCAAAATTCAACAAAGTGGGCTGAGGATGTAGCTCAGTGGGTTAGAACATTTGCCTATCATGAACAATGCACCTGAGTTCAATTCTCAGTACTACACACAAATGCAAAGAATATCCATAGACTATTGTTGTTGTTGTTGTTGTTAAAGATGTTAGATCATCATAGAAAGTTGAACTTTTAATTTGGGATTTTCTTATGGGCAAATATTTTCCAAAGAGTAAATGAAGGTTGATTGAATCAGATAAAATGATAATACGCACTAATGATAATAAGTACTATAAATAAGATAGTTAATTGTAATTGAAATGATCATCTTGAAGTCTTTGAAGAGAAATTGCCATAGTGGGTGAAATGACTTTTAATCAGTCTCTCTGTTTTTAATCTTCTTTATTTCTCTCTACTGTCTGATTTCTACCTAGTATCCATGTCAGATTATAACACTAGCTCAAAGATTTTCACTCATAATCATATTTAGAATAAAATCCAGATATACTCCTTGGACTACTGTTAGACCAGGACACAAGAAAAGACCACTGACTCCAATTAAAATCAAATTAAAGCAAGCTTATTATTTCAACCAGCCAGGCTGCCTCTCCCACCAAAAACCATGGGAACAAGACAGCCCCACAGCTTTCTTGCAGCCCAGCTTTATAGCCCAGAAAGTTACACAAAGGGAGGTTAAGATAACAAAACTCTGAGGAACATAACACAAAGGCTAGTTTACATTTTTCCTGGCCCTGACTGCATAATTTATGAAGGTTATTAGAGCCTCAGAGAGGGTCCTTATCTGTCCAGGGAAGGCCAAGATGTATGAAGCGTCACTGAAGTTTCAGAGAGGGCTGCTATCTGGTCAGAAAGAGCCAGGAATGGGTGAGTTCAAGGCAGGCATTCCAAGCTAGTTCAGAATTTGCAGTAATTTATAGTAAAGCCAAAATTATCTTTTCATGGCTTTGTGGTGAGATGGATCCCAATTTTAAGAGAAAACCAGGCTGGGTCTATCACTACTGGACCACAGAAGGTCATATACTGGAAATGTTCTCTCCTATAATTCTTCCTGTGCATATTATGTTACAGATACTATTTTTTTCTTTTCAGTTTTCTCCTGAAGCCCCCAATATCTATCTCAGTCCACCAACTTTTCTGCACCCATTCTTTCTGTCTCACCTTCTTTGTCCCATCTCAAATTCTTGCACTCATCCAATGCCCCATCCATTTTGCATTAGCAATCATTATCAGAGAAAACATTCAGCCCCTGTTTTTGGAATTTGTTTATTTTGCTTATCATGATTTCTCAAACTCCATCCATTTACCTGCAAATCCCAAAATTTCAATCTTTTTAATGCTAAGTAATATTCCATTGTGTATAATATTCCAAAGTTTTGGTATCCATTCATCTATTGAAGGGCATCTATGTGTTCCAACAGTTTGGTTATTGTGAATTGTGCTGCTATAAACGTTGAAGTGGCTTCATCACTGTAGTATGCTATTTTTAAGTCCTTTGGGTATAGACCAAGGAAGGGGATAGCTGAGTCAAATGGTGGTTCCACTTCCAGTTTTCCAAGGAATCTCCATAGTGCTTCCCAGAATGGTTGCACAAATTTGCAATCCCACCAGCAAAGTATGAGTGTGCCTTTTTGCTTACATCCTTGCCAATA